AAAATGCTTCATGAAGAGGCAGATGAAGATTCAATCAGTTTTCATTTTTATGAGTCACTCTGTTTAGCTGTAACCTCTGTCATACACTTGAGTGTTGAAATAATTCCAACTTTGGTCTGAGAGGACTGTATATCAAAAAAATATGAATGACCATTCTGATTGTAAAAAACTTCTGGAACTTGTTAAACCTTTAGTGGAAAGTTATATGGTGTGATTGTCTGTAATAGTAACATGGTAGAATCTGATGCCTCAGGTAATTTCTTGAAATGTAGTCAGTTGTCCCATGTCCCTATATTTATCTTGTACTTAACACTGAATCTATTTTTTAAGTGCTGCCTTGTAATCAATTGTATTTTAAAGGCCTTCGTAAGTCTGTGAAGTACTTTCTTTGTCTGAACATCTGGACAAAGTGCTGTCACCTGCTATAAGTTTCTAAATTGGGAGTAAGTTATATACTTATATCTGCTGCATTTTTGTCAATCACTTTCTGAACTTACAGCAGAGGATTCAGTTTTCTTTCCTACTTACATTTTTTTCTTACTTTTTTTTCCTAATTGGTTCCTGGGGAAATACTTTTCCAATTAAATACATTGTCTTTCAAGTGAACTTATTTATGAAATTGTCTTCATCATCCATTGTTTAATACTCTTGATGCATTACAATAGACTAGAGAAGTACAATTGTCCTCAGTAGAAGCTCTGTCAGCGTGGCCTCATAGAATTCTTATTTTGGTGATTTTCTACTTTTGTGTTAATTATTGTCCCAAAAACTTTTCTGAGGATTCATAGCCTGTACGTCTGAGAATTCCCTGGTTTCCCTTTTTGGAAGGAAAGAGCAATGTTTGCTACCCTGCCATTCTGTGTTTTTTAATGAGCTATTCTGTATTCTTTGTTAGAAACAGCAGCTATGCTTCTAAGAGATCTCCTGGAGGGCTGCCATCAGTCAGGTGACATGCTGCTCTTTAATTTATCAGTTTAATTTTCCTACTCTTCTTATTTTGACAGATCAGCCTGACATAGTGTGCTCTTTATTTCCTGATAACGGTAGAGCTTGGGTAGGTACCTTGGCTGTATTTGCTACGGTGAAGACAGATACTGACTTTTTGGTGCACTGTAATGTTGTTCCTAATATCTAAACTCAACTTATTTCAGTCTGTCTTTATGTTTTACAGTCAGGTTCTATGTTATTATGTAAAATTCTGGTTTGGCTATAGGTTTCTGAAAAATCTATTACACCATGACCTTATTACAATGTCAGGCGATGCAGTTAAGCAGCTTCTGCTTTAAAGCTGTTGTTCTCAGTATATGGGCACGTAAGGGCTTCTTTCCCAATACAGCCAATGTGCCTGCTCCTATTTAATTCCCTTTCCAAACAGTGGCTATAACCTGTTCCTCTCCATTTCACCCCAGCTGCCCTTGCATTTCTGTCATCCTTTGCAGATATTTGCCTGACCAAAGCTCTCCCTGGCTCTTGTCAATATTTCTCTTGTTCCATACTGAAGGGAATTCTGAGAACTTGGAGAGACTGTGCCAGCAATCTGCTTGCACTTTGGTTTAAGGTGGAGACTATTTCTATGTTGAGGCTTTTCTTGTGCACCTTCCCTCTTGTCAAACAGACTTGAACCCTCCCTGTACACCAGCTGTCCAGATGTTCACTGGTTCTGTAATGGGATACCTGGTGTAACTTGTCTGGTTCCTGCTGTGGGCACACTGGGTCAAAGCATTTTCCTCAGCAGCCTGAATCTAACTTACAAGACCAAATATCACTTTTCCTGATATATTACATTAACATGATATAACCTCTCTGAAATATTTTTTAAATGCTTGCTGCCTCTATTTCAAATGTGGTAGTATTATTTAAAATAAAAGTTTTAAATGAATAATGTGTTAATTAAGAGTGACCTTTCCATTTTCAAAAGTCTAAGTAGAAAACAATAGTACAAAGAACAGCTTTAATGGGAAAGCCAGTTTTATGCCAATAGCCTATGTGAAAAGATGATGGCATCATTTCCTGCAAAACCTATTACTGTATAGGGAGATTGTCACTTATCCCAACACAGACTGTGAAAGATCAATGTTTACCCTTCTCTGAATCACATATAAAACAAATGATGTGAAAAGAAGATTCACCATCTATTTAAAAACACTGGTTTCTATTTTGGACATAACATGTAAAATTTCTGTTTAGCAATTTCAGTTAATTGTTAGATTAACATTTTTGGGAACAGATTGCAAACTTCAAAATGGAAAAGATCATTTTAGGGAGGGAACCAAGGCAGCTGTCAGTGAGCAAAAATTAACATAAATTTGCATAACAGATGTACAGTAAGGTGTCTATGACAGACAATCGCTGAATATTAATGATACAGACCACGACATCATTTGCGTAAATGCTGTCTGCTGGGTATTGAAGCTGCTGCGCTATTTGCAGAAGACAAAGGAGCGCAGAGCTGAACAGATGCACCAAATACATCGATGCATCTTAATTTATGACATCCTCATGAAAGACCTTGTGGTGCGATTTCAGGTTTTATTACAAATAATTCAGAGATAAAGGAACTAAGTAATTATCTTTTCCACTACAGTCAGTTCTTTCAAAGGGGAGGGAAGCTTACTTGTGACAACCATTGTGATGCTTTTTTTTTTTTTGTGTGGAAAGCCTCCTTAAAAAAAATACCCCCATTACAAAGAGTCAAATATTCATCATCATTAAAAGATTAGTGCATATTAGCATGCTTCATGGGACTTGCCACCTAACGTACCGTCACCACCACAACTGGAGTCCTCGAACACACAATGCATTTCAACGAATCTGCAAGGAGAAAAACTGGACAGAAAGATAGAGATGATACAGGCTGTTCAACAAAAAAAATTACCGATGTAATGATGTTTTAGATGATTGTTAATTAGACTTCACCCTCAATCTTTCCTGCCCTTAGTCCTTTTTATAATCTGCAGGTACAACTGGAACCACCCAAAGATTTAGAGATATCTATAGATAACCAGAATATTCTTACTATGTTATTCCTGCAGCTGGAGAAACTGATGAAAGTTATTTGCTTATAACAGGAAAAAAAAAAAAATTGGTTCCTGACTATACAGTGCAGTAAAATTAATGAATGAGAAAGGGATAAATATAAGAAAATAACAACACCAAACTAGACTTGGAAGCCATGTGTATAGAAAATCAGGCAAGGCACGGGATACTTCTCTTCTGTGCTATTAATTTATTTGGGCCTTAATGGATTTCTCTCCAAGCCCATGCTACCATAAGAAAATGAATTGCTGACATGATGAATCTGTTGGTTGCACATACAGAGTTTTATATGCATAGTGTTCAATTTCATTCCTGTCAGCTAATCAGCAGCAGCCAGACTTTTTATTTCAAAGGATTTCCTTTTCCCATTTGAACAGAGAATATAGCCCAGTAATCACTCTGCAGAGCCACTCTGTGAGCTGTTATTTCCACCTGCTTTTTCCTCAGAATCTCTATCAAAGCCCTAATCCAGTAACCTGATAAAATCCTTTCAAGGTCCTGTAGGGTCCATTGTGAAACTGTTCATCTGAGAGGATTGTGGAATAAGAGGAAAGTTCCATGTCCCCAAAAGAGCCATATGATAATTATTTTAATGGAAGCTTACTGTATGGCCAGAAGGCAGTTAACATGTTATTTCACATTTTGTGTGAAAGAATGGAAAAACTGCAGTCTGACACTCTTCTGTCCAATTTTGCTCCCAATTTCTTTTCCAGAAATGCAGCTTTATTCTGTGTTTCACTACACTAACAGCAGGTGATAGGCTGATGCCCAGATATGGTAACAGTTAATGGCAAAAATGTCCTTCCTTTTAGACTTTCTGCATTCACGTTCTAACTCCACTAGGGGAAAGAGATGGTGGGCTAAGTGGGAAAGGAGTTGTCCAAGGTGTACAAAACAGGGATGAACAATGGAACTGGAAACTTTCTTTGATGCAATGGAGATCATTTGCTTTATTGTCTCAATAACAGAAAAGTTCTTGCTGACTACAAGTGGCTCAGCATTTAGGAGGTCTAAGGTTTTATACAACTGTAGGTAAGCAAATTATTGATATTTCCTTCAGTAACTTCTGAGCTGTGTTGACCAACTTCAGTCAACACTGGCAGAGGAGATGAGCCTCAAAGATAGCTGAGTCTGTACTGAAGAAGTCTGTCTCCCTGCTATGAGAACTGCTTTAGGACTCTTCTTTCTAATCTGCACAATTTTCATTTTTTGAGTAACCAGTTGGCAGGGTCCTTTGGATAGCAACAATGGGAGAAGCTTCTGGTAACTTCTCACAGAAGCCACTCCCATAGGCTCACCAGCTACCAAAGCCTTCCTATGCGAACCCCTTACTGCTACTACTCTTTCACAGAAGCCTCCAGGCAGCTCTACCAATGTGCCGGCTTCCCACTGTGGCTGGAGAAGCAGACTGGTTGAAAGATTATCTCCAAAAGGAGATGATTTGTTCTGACTGATTAAAGGAACCATGATCCTGGGTACTCTGGTAGTCTGTGGAATTTGAGCCCAAGTTTGAAGGAAGAAGAAATAGTAGGCAACAGCTGTTTGTATTTTCTTTTTGGTGTTCTTCCTTTATATTTGGGGTTTAGTGAAAAAAACTTAACTACCACCTCAAGGAAGCATTCAGCATGCATTTTTCTTTAAAATTCAGCCAGTATCTCTGTGAGGACAACAAACCAGTGAGAGGAACTGCTATGCTTCTGTTTGGGAAGTACAGTTCTGGTAGCACTTGCAAATGGCTGCATTGTCATGGGGTATGATAGGGTTTCTTAGGTGCCTGCCAGAGCGATCATGAAACCTGTATATCCTGACACTGTCCAGTTGCCAGCATAACATGAAAACGCTTGTCAAATGAAACATGAAAAGCTTCAGAGCTTGATTTGTTTGCTTTTACACTATTATAAAAGCATTGATTTCATTGGATTTACTCTGAATTTATGCTGATATAACTGAGAAGAAAAAAATGATTCGGTATAGGTAATAGATATTATTTTATTCATTCCATTTTTCTCTAAAACAATTTAAAATCCTTGGCAAAAGAAGCCCTAGGTTGATGCATAATATACCAAACTGAGCAGTAACTAAAACAAATAATTTTTCTACTGCTGTAATTCTCCCTAGGTCACTTTTTGAAAACTGCTACAACATATTTTAATAAACAAATACTTTTTGTATTCATTTGGATACAGATTTCACAGTAGGTCACCTTTGGAGTGGTGTCCTGCAGCTCAGGCACTCTCAGCAAGATGCGCCTGAGGAATGGGCTGCAGAATTCCATGGCCTACTTTGGACAAACAGATATCATATTGGTTCTAAATGTCATGTGAAGATGTCCTTCTATGTCTAAACAGATAGAAGATATAATGTGGTAATATCTTTTCCTTTCTGCTTTTTTAGGTAACACAGCAAGTTCCTCTACTTTCAGGTTACCTTGTAAATAAAAAAATATTGTTAGCGATGAATAAGTTATAGTTAAAATACTTTATTACTTTGCTGCTTTTGTTGTGAGGTGTCAAACTACTTCTTGGCTCATGTTCCACCCAGTATTTAAAATCTTCTGGTCAGAAACTCAGAGATCAGCTGGGCTAAGCATGGGGAGTGTGTACTCTGACTGGGAGCAGTAATCCATTTGCTAGGCGTGGTCCCCCTAAAAAAGTGAAGGAGAGCAAGATTTTTGATGAGACACAGGAAGGATGCCTTAAAGCTAAGCTGTAAATATTATCAAAAATGTCTTTTCAGTATTTTGGAGCCCACTGTCCTGATCATATCTACAAATTCAATAAAATAGTTTTGGGAAAGAAAAGACTAAGATGATGAGTATCACACTAGAGTGAGCAAAGGCAGGCAAGGATCTCGTTGCTGTGGTTACTCAAATTGATTATGCAAAGGGTAGTTCTGGGCTTTGGAGGAAGTGAGGATGATGTTAGTAGATATCCATCTGGAGGTATTAGGAGGGAAGCATTCTATACAATTTCTACATAAAGGATTTGGAGAAAAAAAAAATAAGGAGAAAAGATATTGATGAGTACACCAGCATGAGGATGAGCAGAAAAGTAGAAAAAATAGAGCCAAGAAAACTCCACAGAGGATAGAGAGATAGTGACTGACAGGGAACACATCAGAAATTAGTACAGAATTTCAAATTAGGGAAAGCATTCAGTGAAACAGGAAATGCAAATGGTGTCAGAGAATTATGTCTGGTGGATGAATAAAAAGAAAATGGTGAAATAAAGAGATAGAAGGTGAGTGAAAGGTGAGAATGACTGGAGTATAAGTTTAGTGTTCAGAGAACTTAAAATGGGAAAGTGCAAAAGAGACAAAGCAATAAATTTCAAATAAGCTGTGAAGGTGTAAAGAGGAAGAACTTTTTGGTGTGAAATTGATTAAATGCTAAAAAAATGTTTGGTCTCTATTTTTCATTTAAGATTAAACCCAAGTGAAACATGCCAACCTCACAGCCTCAGCAGAAGTAAATTCCAAAACTGGGAAAACTAATTTAAAGTATCTTATCCCAGAGCACAGTAGCCATCACTTATGGGCAAAGTTTAGAGCAACCCAAAAACTTGATGCATGCAGTACATAACCAAAAATAAGAATGTGGAACACCAGTAAGATAGACTAGGCCACAAAGAAGACTTCTGTGAGAATGTTCTTAAAAATATATAAATACTGAGAATAATAGGGAAGCAAAAAAAATTCTAAAGGAGAAAACTAATGCATACATTAGCACTTTTATTATTATCTTGAACCTTCCATCCAAATCAAAGATTGCAGCAAAAAATATTAACCCAGTTCTGAGAAACTGATAAAATAATAAAATAATAAAATGGGATCTATTCAGTCTGAATAAAAGTAGGCAAAAATCCATGAAACGCCACCTATCTACCTCAAACCCGAACTGACCCATGTTACTGCTATTAGCTAGTGGAATGTTCTCAGGAAGCCCAGCCAGGAATAAGAAATGTAGCCCTGAGATGGGGCATATGTGTCAGGAATACAGCTGTGTAAATAGTGAATCTTTTGTTTTGCTGGTATTTCTGAAAGTAAAGAAAAAAATAATTTTGGGTTTAGTGTGCAAAGGAAACATTTTTTAGGTAAATTAAATTTCTTTGGTCAGATTACTTACAAAATGCATTGCTTTACTCTTTAGGGTTTATTTGTCTATCTGGGTTATTTATAGTTTAAAAATAAAGTTTTTCAAAATTTTCTAAATGACAATTTTGAAAGAAATAAGTATAAACACACAATTTTCTTTAAATATAAAAATTATTTTGGGGTGATGAAGGGCTGCTTTAAACCTCTTGTGTCTCCAACTATTCAGTAAATTTAGAGTAACTAGTAGTTATATTTTGCTGTTCATTGAATAATTTCTTCCAGACATACTTTAGCCAAAGACTTTCACAGAAATTCAGTCTAAGTTAAGCCATAAATCTGTTTTTCACAGTAGCAGAAGATATAAATGTTCTCATAGAAGCCAACTGTAAATAAAAAAAAGATAAAAAAACCAAAACAAAACCAAACCAAAACAAAAAACAAACAAAAACCAAAAACAAACAAAACCAAAAACAGACAAAAAATACAAAAAAAACAACAACAAAAAGGTAATTTACAGGTATCCAACAAACGAAAATCACCGGATCTAGAAAACTGCTGGCATTTCTTCCCTCTCTGGCTTTCATGGGACATTGATGCTGGTTTTCAAACCCCATTTAATACCAGCTGGGAGCCTTGCCATGAGAGACAGGAGGATGGCTGGGTGGGGGTTCCCCAGATTCCCCTCAGGAAGGGTGAACCAGGTCCATGTGCTGCAGGGAAGTCTGGGGAATGGGTGGGACACACACAGGATAGTTCTCATTTCTAGTAGTGGCAAGGAGAGAAGGAATAGGCTAGAGGAGGAAGAATCGGCTATAAAAAGTAAAGTTTATAGCATTTCCCATGGTCAGAAATTTAGAAAAAGCTCCATGTCTGAAAGCATGAAGATTCAAGCAACCCAAGACAATTTTCCAGCTAAAAGCAGTAAATCTCTTTCAAATAGCACTCTCAATTTCATTCTCAAAGCTATTTTTTTCAGAAGAATTGTAGGATGTCCTTTTCAAGATAGATATTGTTTCTTATCTGACAACTTTTATGTTTTCTCGCCCCCTTTTCTCAAAAAAACACCTACTCAGGTCAGATTTTTTTGCCCAAAGCACCCAAACTCCTCAGCAAAGCCGTGCTTTGGTGGGAGCCATTGTGAATACACGCAGGTGGTGGAGCACAGCAAATGTTCGGAGGACCAGCAATCACGAGTCCCTGATTGCTTTCCATCCTGTGCTGCCACTGCCTTCACCCTCTGCTGTGGCTGTCTGACATTTGCACTTGTGATCCTGAATTCCAGGCAAACCATAGCTTTGTGAGTTTAGAAACCAAAGGAAAGAGCTAAGAAATGAAAACATGTTCAAAACAATGCAAGTGTTAAACTGAGTTTGAGAACATTTAAACTGTGGTCTTTATTTCTACCCAGTTTAAAGGGAAGGAATTTAGGAAATTTGTGAAATACAGCTTTCCAACCAAATTTCAGTCATGCCAGGAATTAAATTGTACTTTTAATTGAGAATTCGGTTGTGTCCTCTTAATGAGAAATTAAAGCATGTATTCAGTTTTTGTTTCACAAATATTTTTCTTCTTTGCTGCTTCTCCTTTTATTCACAGCTTATTCTGTTAATATTTGAGTGTTTAACCTTGGTTTTTGTTTTCACTCTACAATACTAGAATATCTCTTTGACACATATTCCTTGAGCTATCCTCTGATATGCAGCTGGTACACATTCAAGGTCATGGTCCTTGTTGAAACGCAGGAAAAAGGGGAAACACAAAAAATGATCAGAGTAATTTTCTGCTTCTTTTGCATTTATTGAAACTGAAGTTTATACTGAATAAGGACCTTCTGCTTCTTTTCACTATATTATGAACACAGAGTATTTGTTTTGGTATTACCAGGACTAATTTTCAGTTTTTAAAGTACAGCAAAGAGAAATATGGATGTTGTGTATTACAGGGAAGAGGGCACATGACTGGTTGATGTCAGCTGGGGTTAAGCCACAGACATTTGCAAGAAAAAAATCATATTCAAATGAGAAAGTGACACCTTTTTGTATGTTTGTTGTTTGTTTTGGGTTTGGTTTTTGGTTTTTTTTTTTAATAAATATATAAATTAGACAGTGGAAATAAAAAAAAATTCAGAAAATTAATCTATTTTTCATATCTGTTAATTAGCATTTAGTAATACTTTTTTCATTCAGAGACAGCAATTTTTCACCAATAAGTAAATTCTGTTGGGAAAAAATACTAATACTAGGCTCAAACCTAGATGTTTCATTAGTTAAAAATGTGGCTGCTGAGTTACTGAATCTGAAACTTCATAAGGAACTACTAGAATAGGATGTGAAATATCCAGGACATTTGTGCCATAAATGTGTAAACTATAGAGATGTACAGAGATTAGTCTTCTGTTTATATGCATTTGTATAGACAACTATTTTATGTATGTTTTCCAGGACCAAATTAATCTTGGTACCCAAACCCAAGAATTACTCCAAAGTCATGCTTGCAGCACATGTGATGGAGTTTAAACATAGCCACCTCCCACTCCCAGCTCAGGTCTGATCTACTCCTTTGTGTTTCACAGCCCAGTAAGGAAGAGCAAGTTTAAACACCTATTTCTGCCACAGAAATGAACCTCTGGTCCCCAGACAAGTCTTCTGGAAAACCTGTAGCTGCAAGGAGCCTAGTGTTCCTCATCAGTGATGCAGTGTCATGTAGATGACCTGAGGTTCAATATTGGAGATGCATTATTTAATTATTAATCAGAGTTTTTTCCCTTGTTTATTTCTTTGTCATAAGAGGAAAGGTTCTTTTATATTTTTATGTTAAAGATCTCATATTCTAGCCTATCTGATCTCAGGAGATGGTTGGTGGCTTTTTTTTCAGTTGTGCTGTAAAAATTATTTCCTCCAGAACAATTGCCCTGTCAGCAGTGCAGTCAGCAATATTACACATACATTTCGTTTTTCCTTCACTCCCAATGTTATATTGCATTACATTTTTAGAGCAATCTCCTCCATAAATCTACTCTCTTCAGTTCTAGAAAAGCAATTTGCAATGTTGTGCTTTCTTCCCAAACTTCACCAGGTACTGTTGCTTCCTTGGTGCAAAATAAATAACAATGTGTGATAAAGACATCTATTTTGACAGTACTGATTAACTAGCACAGCCGTGTCCCTTCCAAAAAAGCAGCTCCTTTTGAGTGAGCAATCCATTTCAAATGGTCTTTGGTCTTGTTGCTCTGCTGTGTAATCCGTTTTTTGTTTGTGTGTGTGTGTATGGGCTCTTGAATCATAGCCAGCTCCATTGGTTCCAAGTGATCCTTGGAAGTGTGCCAGTGTAGAAGTAGAGAGAGGACAGGAAAATGAGACATTCTTCTTTTTTCTTTCCCAAGAAGTTTTTGTAAGAATCAGACCCTTCTTGGATGGTGCAGGCCCATCACCACAGCCATTAGGGGTTGGTTCAAAAGAATCGAAAGACTGCAACCAAATCTATTCCATGTATATATTTTTATAGAACAAGGATTACTAGTTAGCTGTCATTTGAGGGAAAGCCCAATGAAACAATTGTTTCTATCAGCACCAACCTTTTGCATTCTGTTATCCCATTAGCAGGAACTACCTGAGCTGGCTGTTCCTGCACTGGCAGCTGCCTTCTGCCACCACGCTCCTTGCACTTTGTTGAAAACAGGGCCAGAGCTGATTTACAAATTCCCCTCCTGTAAAAATAGTTTCAAAGCATTTGTTTCTAACTGTGGATCCATCTACAAAGAAGTTTAATTACCTGCAGAAAGATCTGCTTGGCCATCACATGATTTCTGCTGTCTTTTGACCATGAGTACTCCAGGATGTCTGCAGAGCTGATTCTACCACAGCTATTTCAGTCTTCAGAGATGTGTTTATGAGATGGTGAGGGGGGCTGATAGTAGGTGTCTGGGCAAAACCAAAATCTCCTGTGTAGAGGACCTATGATAAAATCAAGGCAGAGTATGTTAGTGCCAAACAGTGGATGAGTGTTTCTGAAAGAGAGATAAATATTTTCTTCACAGCATTCTGGCATAAAGCACAGCAGGGCACACAATGTGCTGAACAATGGCAGGACTGTGTGCACTTTGGCATGTACTACAGAAACTTCTTTACTGAGAAGTTTCTCCCTCTCTCTGCTTTGGGGAGTTTCTCTAATTATTTGAATAAAAATCCTGGGAAAGCTCCAGTGTTCAGGCATGTGACCTCCTCTAATGGATTTATTTGTCATTTTTCCCTTAGTTCTCCAGTCATTTTATTCTTTTTCCTTTTTACATCCCACTGTAGCCTATTCTCACTGTCAATCCTATTCTTGAGCACATTCTTAATTTATTTTCTATTCTTCAATTGATGTGCTGCATACAAAAAATGTGCTACAAAAATTCTGAGGTCTAATGGGCAAATTCTGCATCAGCTATTAGCTTTTCTAGGGCCTCTTGCATCATAGATCCTTGCAAAATCAGAAGGACTAGATATGAGAATGAAGATACATGACTGAAGTGATGCTGAAGTCAAAAGTTACATTCTTTTTCCAGGTTCAGTAACTACTGCTTCCTTGCCCAGAAAATGGGAACAGCACAGCTCCATCATCACTCTTGCACTCTTGGAAATGGGAGGCTTATGAAACTGGAGTAGGAAAGTCTCCATGACCCATCTAGAATAACCATTTCCCACCCTTGAACGATTTTTATCAGTCTTGTTTTATACTATTTGAACTGATTACTGTGGTCTTGTGTGTCTGTCAGTAGTCTTGAAATCAGCTTTCTGTGAGTGCTGGTTCCTGCTGAAGTTCTCTTAAACTGACTTCCAAGTTCATGGCTTGCTATGCTGAGGATGTGCTCAGAAGAGAGCTCTGGTTAGAGTTAACTAAGCTCCCTTAACAACCACAAATAATTTCCCCACTGGTTCTCTGTGTTAAAGAAGGAAACTTGTTTTGAAGATTAATTTCAGCTTCTCCTTTTCCCAGGGTGTAAAGGTCAGTACCCTGCTGATTCTGGTTTGATTGAGCCTTCAGGTCATTCCTGAATAGTCTTAGAACTACAAAGCATAGCTTGAGTCATTGGGAGCAAAGAAAAGTACTGCAATGCAGATCAGCAACATAAGAATATCAGGATGAAAAATGACAGCCCCTGAGTAATTTCATTAGTGTTGTTAATACTTGAGAGGGCTGAGGGCAGAATTTGTACTAACTTCATGCATCAGAGTAAGATTAAAACTGAATATCTCAAACCACATCCTGTGGTGATAGAGAGGAAGGAGCAGTTCTCCATTATATGTGTACTTGGTAGGGAAGCCAACAGGGCCGTTGTCTCTTGTTAGTTCTAATGAGTAATTCTAGCCCCATGGTGTGACAATTATTTCCTCTGACCAAAGAAAATATCCAGCCTGGATCCAGCTATGTTCCTATATTTTCCTGGATCCCAGGAGAGCATTTAGTGTCTGTGACTCTGTAAGCCCTTATCCTCACATCTGCAAACAGTTGAGAGAATAATTTTGGATGTGTGTTCAATGACTGAACTTTTACCTTAGTTCTTGCCTGTTACCCCTGTGCGCAAAGAAAAGGAGAAAGAAGGGAGGAAGGAATCTTTAGTGAGTGAAGAAAAGGTCAGCATAGATGAAAAGCATCGTGGGACTGTGGGTGGGGCAGCAGATGGAAATTAGTCATTTTGTTTCTCTCAGAGTCTGTCCCAACCCAACTAGTGACAGCACCTCACTTTTACAGATTACAGATTACAGATTACAGACCTTTACTAGATTGCTTCACCTTTACAGTTTGCGACAGTTTAAACTTGGAGTTTCTTGGTCCAGATTTTAGGACAATGAGTTTCTTTCTGCAGGCTCCCACACTTATCTGGAATACCTAGATGTCATTATACCACAAATAAATAAATAAATAAATAAATTTTACCAGGACAACACTTAGATAATGATGTGCATGGCCTCTAATCTGAGAAAATGGTTTTGCCTATGATGATTTCTCTAACCAATACAAATGTCCCTTCTCCTAGTTTATTCCAAACAGCTTCCATGAACTGCTGGCACTTGAGCTATCCATGAAGGGTTTAACTCTTTGTCGTGTAGGTGGTACTGTGGGGAATAAAATCCATGCATTAGAATGCAGTGGGGTTAAGCAGGGGAGTCTGCAAAATGCAGCAACTACTCTTGGGCTGGAGCTTTTCCAAGCCTCTCAGTTTTCAGAAGAAAATTAAATTCTCCATTGGGAGCAGGCAGAAAAGCAAGTGTGTTACTACATCAAGCATGAGCTTCTAATAGAATGATGGAAGCTTTTTTTTTTTTTGGAAAGGAGTTTTAAGATTTGAAATCCAGCTGTTAAGCCACCACTGCTATATCCACCACTAAACCTTGTCCCTGTGTGCCACATCTGTGCATCATTTAAATACCTCCAGCAGTGGTGAATCCACCACTTGCCTGGGCAACCTGTTCCAGTGCTTGACCACCCTTTCAGTGAAGACATTTTTCCCAACATCCAATCGAAACTTTCTCTTGCACAACCTGAGGCCCTTTCCTCTTGTCCTGTATTTTGTTCCTTGGGAGAAGAGATGAGCACCCCTACCTACCTACAGCCTTCCTGGGATTTACAGAGAGTGTAAAGATCCCCCATGCACCTCCATTTCTCCAGACAAATGTCCCCAGCTCCCTCAGCTGCTCCCTGTAAGCCTTGTGCACCAGACCCTTCTGCAGCTCTGTTGCCCTTCTCTGGATGTGCTCCAGCACCTCAATGTCTTTCTTGTCATGAGGGGTCCAGAACTGAACACAGGATTTGAGGAGTGGCCTCACTAGTGCCACGTACAGGGGGACAATCACTGCCCTGATCCTGCCAGCACACTGCTCCTGGTACAGGCCAGGTGCCTTTGGCCTTCTTGGCCCCCTGGGCACAGCTGGCTTGTGGTCAGTCACTGTCACCAGCACCCCCAGGTCCTTTTCCAGTGGGCAGCTTTCCAGCCACTGTGCCCCCAGCCTGTAGAACAGCTCTGTAGAACCTTCCTACTCTCCAGCAGATCAACACTCCCGCCCTACTTGGTGTTAGTGAAAACTTGCTGAGGGTGCAATCAAACACTCCCTCTGGATATATTGCTTCTTATACCTCATTTCTTTTTTTAAGCTTCAAACACAGAAAGAAAGGCAAAGACTAACAATACAAGACTTCATTTTGGAAGCTTCCTTAACTTTCCTGAAATTGAAGCAGAGAGGTTCCTAAAAAACCCTTTCCCTAAATTCCCAACTTGAGTGAATTTAAAGGTTGATCCAAAGTGCAGGGAAGTCAATGGAAAACTGTCCATTGACTTAAAAAGGCATTGAATTAGGCCTAGGATGATTAAAGAACTTTCTACATTGGCTGATCCTTGAAGATTAATTCATGAGAGCAAAGTTCAGTCAAAGTTAAGTGGTTTTGAAAGACTCCCTCCAAAGTTTTCTATTTCAATAAAACAGTAAAATGGTATCCCCCTATTCAGAACAGTTGCTCTCTGAAACAAGGCCAAGCCATTTCATTAACTTTGGATCATCAAGTTTAAAACAACAATATTTTTTTGTGTATGAGAGTGCATATGCAGCAAGCCTTGTGAAATAAGCCTTTTTCTTTGGGGCAACTTCTGACAATTAGGAAACAATTAGATGTCAAACTAATTAAAGCAGCTTTTTCTTATATATGTAAAACAAACCTTATGCTCTGAAGTGGTTCCAGTGTATTCAAAGCACTGAAATTGGGTCTGAAAGAAAGGACTCACATCTGCCACTCAAGGTCTACTCTCCCTATAAACTCATGAATAATCATTGTCATCAGCTTATCACTGTCAGATTAGGGGTTTAGTATTACATTTTATTTAAACCTGATCCAGATGGCTGCCAAGAGATTTTCAGGCAAATGAACTGTGAGGCAGACTATCATCAAGGAGCATTTTACTGTTTGTGCATATAAGTGTGTTCTAGGTCTCCAAAGTAACTTACAAAGCTGACAAACTATTTTTTATTTTAGTTTTTTTACTTTGGCACCTGTGAACTTAATCTTCATCTGCAGCTCATCAATATCATTTTTTTGGCACAGGAATATAGTCAATGACCTATCCTTCATCAGATATTTCATTTACTTGTATTTACCAAGTCATTCAATTAACAAGCTAAAGAATAGAAGCAGAAGCCATGAAGTTATGTGTGGCTTTCTAGACATGCAGTGACTTTGCAAAATTTGACATTCAAAAATACTACCTCAGCATACCTGGAAAACACATCTGCTTTTTTTTTCCTTGTAGTTTTTCTGCTTTCCATTACTCAATGGATATGCTTACCTGTAATATGTCTGCAGTAAAAGAATCATCATAAGAATATAGAGAGATTTCTTTGGTAGCGACTGACACAAAAGTGAATCTCTATTTGCAAGTCTTTGATAGAGGACAGGAGAGCTGAATACACAGCAGCCATTCCAATAGGAAATATAGTACAATATATACAAATCAGGTCTCCATTGATTTCTGAATGATAGACTGTATTTGACTTATTTTTAAACAATGCCTATGTGAATGTATATGATATGTAAATGTATAAAATAATGTAATGGTTCACTTTCATTTATACAATAATTTAATATACATTTATCCCATGTTTCAATTATATGTTTTATTTCAATGTTAAGTCATATCCCCAGTTCCAAGTCCACCTCAGGAAATGTTTTTTCTGCAAAGAAATATTTGTTCCAGTACTCCTTTTTTTTTATTTTATTTTTATATTTAAATAATTTCATTTTGAAAAAAAAAAAAACTTGATAAAAAATTGCATGTTTCTCTCTTATTTTTTAAATTTTGTTTTTAAAATGTTACATTTATTAATTTTTGTTGTATGTTTAGATTAATTTTTATCTCAAAAGTCTCTATTTAATTGCACTGGAAGTAAGGTACATCTTAATTCAGAAAAGAAGGCTTTCTAACATAAGGAATGTTGAAGATACTGATTTTCATTTTTCATTTGAGGTGGAATAAGTTTCCCATTAAAGCTTCTGTGCTTGATATTTTACTGTGGTAAAGGCCACCACGGATCCCATGTGACTTCTGTGACCTTCAGACTTGAAATAATCTTGTACTTAGCGTATTCTTTTCTCTCAAAAAATAGGTTCAAATCTTTTAAATGATGGAGGGGACACAGACACATTAACGTTAATGGTGACTATGTACCTCAGTCCCCTGGACAGTTTTGAGAATCTCTGCTGCAGATGTCAGAGTTGTTATTTTATGATGAACTTCTGTAGTAGCATTGCATTTGTACAGATAATGAAGTCATTATCTAATCATCATTGTTCCATGTTTCACACTCTGCTTGAACTCATGTGCTAATGATTTTCCACATGATAACTGCATTTCTTAGATATATTTGATATAACATATAAGGTCTGTGGTACATTCTGACGACTGCAGGAATCCCAGGACAGTGTGATTATAAAATCCTTGGTGGCATCCAGCCTCAAATCATAATTTCAGCTCATGATACCAAACAGTGAGGCACAGTCTGTGGGAGTGAAAGATGGCACTTCCTAGAGTATGAAAACAAAATGGCAAACAAAATGAAAAGACCCTGGAAGAGCAGTACAGCAAATGGCCGTGCTCTGACCCAACAGTCCTACTGCAGTGTTAGGCAATGCACTCTATCTACCCCCTGTTCATCAACTCGGGAAGATCTGAGGGTGATGGAGGGACTACAGAGTTACTACAGAGGGACTACAGAGTTACTACAAAGGGACTGCAGAGTTACTACTCTGACCAAACTGTGACACTTGGTTCCCTGTATGAAATCAAAAGCTGAAAGGACTGAACAAGTGTAAGTAGTGGTCTTAGACATTAAGGTTTTAGTTGGGCAAGACGAGAATGTCAAGAGACTGTGATTTCAAGGAGACATACCCAGCAACTTCTAAAAATCAAACACCTTTTCCAGCCCTTAAAGTGACTCACCTTCCCGTGAGAGAAGGTGGCAGAGATGGGGAACTTGTCCATTTTTCTTACTGTAGTGTAAACAGGAGACCAATTTGTATTTTTTCCATGTTCAAGCACCAATAAAAGGGGGACCATAGGATTGTTTTTGCAGCCCTGGTCACATCTCAAACCCAAGATTAAGAGTCACAGTATCACCTCTAGAGTGGAGACTATGCTGCCCTCAAAAACTGACTTTAGAGTACATTCTTCTTTACTTCTCATTCCTCTGTCACATACTTTGTTGTGTTGCTTTTTTTCTTATTATTAATAAAAGGATAGAATAGATAATTTATCAAAGAGTATAACATAAATTAAACTAGATTTTCACTAGTTTGTGGCTTTCTAACCATGGGTTTGGCTTGTGTCACTTAGTATTGTCTATTATTGATCTCACTGTGGAAAAAATGTCATTTGTGGTGTTATTACAAAAGAGTACAGAGTCAATTTGAAGTGAAAGGAAAGCATGGCAATTGTAGAAACAGCAATAGAAAAAACTCTGCCATGAGTAAATTTAGCTAC